CACGCTTGTGTGTTGTTACACCTGGTGACATCCACGCTTGTGTGTTGGTGCCTGACATCCTCGTGTGTTGTTACACCTGGTGACATCCACGCTTGTGTGTTGTTACCTGGTGACATCCACGCTTGTGTGTTGTTACCTGGTGACATCCACGCGTGTGTGTTGTTACACCTGGTGACATCCACGCGTGTGTGTTGTTACCTGACATCCACGTTGTTTACACCTGGTGACATCCACGCGTGTGTGTTGGTCACCTGGGCATCCACGCGTGTGTGTTGTACACCTGGTGACATCCACGCGTGTGTGTTGGTACACTTGGTGACATCCACGCGTGTGTGTTGTTACACCTGGTGACATCCACGTGTGTGTTGGTACACCTGGTGACATCCAGCGTGTGTGTTGTTACCTGTTGACATCCACGCGTGTGTGTTTTTACACCTGGTGACATCACGCTTGTGTGTTGTTACACCTGGTGACATCCACGCTTGTGTTGTTACCTGGTGACATCCACGCTTGTGTGTTGTTACACCTGGTGACATCCACGCGTGTGTGTTGGTACACCTGGTGACATCCACGCGTGTGTGTTGTTACACCTGGTGACATTAACACAGAGGCAAGTGACAAATTCTCACTACAAGTACACACACACACACACACACACAAACACAAGCACACACACACACACACACACACACACACACACACACACACTACAAACACACACACACACACACACACACACACACACACACACACACACACACACACACACACTACAAACACACACACACACACACACACACACACACACACACACACTACAAACACACACACACACACACACACACACACACACACACACACACACGACACACACACACACACACACACACAAACACACACACATACACATACAAACACACACACACACACATACACACACACACACACACACTACAAACACACACAGACACACACACACACACACACACACACACACATACACACACACACACATAAATACACACATACACACACACACAAATTCACACACACACACACACACACACTACAAACACACACACACAAACACACACATACACACACACACACTACAAACAGACACTCGTCAGAAACTGGGTCTCTGGTGTACAGTGGCAGGAAGAGGAGGCACTCACTAGTGTCAACACAGCCACAGTACACGTGTTGCGCAGCTAACACCAGCCTTCACCACCACCACCACCACCACCACCACCACTCAACACCACCACCACCACCAACACCACCACCACCACTAACACAACCTCCACCACTAACACCACCACCACCACCACTAACACCACCTCCACCACCACCACCACCACCACCACCTCCACCACTAACATCACCACCTCCACCACTAACACACCACCACCACCACCACCACCAACACCTCCACCACTAACACCACCTCCACCACTAACACCACCACCACCACTAACACCACCTCCACCACTAACAACCACCACCACCACCACCACCACCACCACCACCACCACCACCACCTAACACCACCTCCACCAGCTCCATCACCACCACTAACACCACCTCCACCATACCTAAACCTCCACCACCACCACTAACACCACCTCCACCACTAACACCATCTCCACCACCACCACCACTAACACCACCTCCACATCCTCCATCACCACCACCACTAACACCATCCACCACCTCCATCACGACACAACACCACCTCCACCACTAACACCACCTTCACCCACCACACTCAACACCACCACCACCAACACCACTAACACCACTAACACCACACTCCACCAACACCACTAACACCACTAACAACCTCCACCACTAATATCATCTCCACCACCACCACCACTAACACCACCTCCACCACCACCACCACTAACACTACCACCACCACCACTAATACCACCACCACCACTAACACCACCTCCACCACTAACACCATCTCCACCACCTCCACCACTAACACCACCTCCCACATCCTCCATCACCACCACCACCACCACTAACGCCACCTCCACCACTAACACCACCTCCACCACCTCCATCACGACCACCACACCACCTCCACCACCACCACCACTAACACCACCACCAAGTAACAAGATCACTAGATTACAAGATGTTGTAACCGCTAGATTAAGGTTAGGATATAAGTACCTTTGGCAGTATGTTCCTCAAGCAGATGTAAACAAAACTAAATGTAAAGTGGGTGGCCATACATTGGCCACACACTCCTTCTCTTCTCTCGACTGTGTGAAGATAGAACCTTTAAGGGACAGGTCCAAGCACACTGTGAGTGAAATGCATCTCTAATGGCAAGATAGCCGACATATTAAGATTGTATCCACTTTTTGCACTTAGTATATCAATTCTCATGTACAGAACCAAATACGCAATGTGCTTGAATACCTCCCACGTAAATGTGAATAACAAAGTGTGAGGCCAGACATACTGCTCCTCACATGCCTGTTCTCACGCATTTGTGAATAAGTTACCTTATGTATAGAACTAAACAAATAATGAAATGAAATACTGTGTAACATTCAGTGCCAAAATATCTACAACAGGGGTTAATTATTATGACCCTTTGAAACCTTACTCTGTAATCCTTGCGCACCGCTCACGATGAGTGTGGTTGTCATAAAAGTAGCCGCTAAGCGGCAAAAAAATAATAAAAATCACCACTAACACCACCACCACTAACACCACCACCACCACTAACATCACCACCACTAACACCACCACCACCACTAACATCACCACCACTAACACCACCACCACCACTAACACCACCACCACTAAACCTCCACCACCACCACACTAACACCACCACCACTAACACCACCACCACTAACACCACCTCCACCACCACCACCACCCTTACCATCCCATCACCACCACCACCAATAACACCACCTCCACCACCACCACTAACACCACCTCCACCACCACTAACACCACCTCCCACCACAACCCTCTAACCACCACCACCACTAACGCCCCTCCACCACCACTACCACCTCCACCACCACCACTTCTCACAACCACCACCACTACACCACCTCTGCCACTAACGCCACCTACACCTCCACCCTCCATCACCACCACCTAACACCACCCTCCACCACCACCACTGTACCCACCTCCACCACTAACGCCACTAACACCCTCACCACCTCCATCACCACCACTAACACCTCACCACCACCACCTAACACCTCCACCACCTAACCCATCCCACCACCACTAACACCACCTCCACCACTAACACCATCCACACCACCACTAACACCACCTCCACATTTAACACCACCTCCACCACTAACACCACCACTAACACCTCCTCCACATCCTCCTCGCCACCACCACCACCAATAACACCACCTCCACCACTAACACCACCTCCTCCACCTCCATCACGACCACTGACACCACCTCCACCACCACCACCACTAACACCACCACCACCACTAACATCACCACCACTAACACCACCACCACCTAACACCTATCCACCACCACCACCACTAACACCACCACCACTAACACCACCTCCACCACCACCACCACTAACATCTATCCACCACCACCACTAACACCACCTCCACCGCCACCACTAACTCCCTCCCACCACCACCACTAACACAACCTCCACCACCACTAACACCACCACCACCACTAACACCACCTCCACCACCCTATAACACCACCTCCACCACCACTAACACCACCTCCACCACTAACACCACCACACCTCCACCCTAACACCCACCCCACCTCCACCACCTCCATCACCACCTTACCCACCTCCACCACCACCCAAACACCACCCACCACCTAACACCACCTCCACCACCACCACTAACACCACCTCCACCACCACCACTAACACCACCTCCACCACCACCACCTTCACAACCACCACAACACCACCACCCTAATACCACCTCCACCACTAACACCACTAACACCACCTCCACCCCCTCCATCACCACCTCTAACACCACCCCCTCCACCACCACCTTTCTCTTACCACCTCCACCACCACCCTACCACCTCCACCACCAACACCACATCCACCACCACCACTAACATCACCACCACTAACACCACCACACCACTAACACCACCACCACTAACCCACCTCCCACACCACCTAACACCACCACAACTAACACCACCTCCACCACCACCACCACCACTAACACCACCTCCACCACCACCACTAACACCACCTCACCACTAACACCACCTCCACCACCACCACTAACAACCTCCTACCACCACCTCCACCTCCACCCACCACTACCCACACCACCACCATCACCACCACCACCACTAACACCACCACCATCACTAACACCACCTAACATCATCACCACCAACCCCTCCACCACCACATCATCACCACCAGCCCTCCTACCACCACACAACACCACCACCACCATCACTAACAGTACCACCAACATCATCACCACCAGCCCTCCATCCTCCCCCACCACCTCCATCTTACGAACCGTGTTGAGAGTAGTCCTATATCGAACCCTGTGTAGAATATGGACCTCAGTCTAACGAACTATATGGCAGAGAAGTCCGTTATATACAGGTCGACAATTTATGCATCTTCCAATTACCGGATTAATGTACTGTATATATGAGAGAGAGAGTATTGTATGTACAACACCACCTTCCACCACCCACCACTCCCACACACCCACACACCCACTCCCCACCCACCACTCACCCACCCACCCCTCACTCCCCACTCACCCACCACCAAATCTGCCACCTACCCACCCACAAATCTACCACTACCCACCCACTCCCCACCCACCCACCAAACCAACCCACCTACCCACCCACCCACCCACCTACCCACCCCATCCACCCAACCCACCAAACCCACCTACCCACCTACCCACCCACCCACCCACCTACTAACCACCACTCTCCTTTGGGTTCGGTGTGGGTTCGCTTCTCCATGATCTACGGCGCCCTCCTGACGAGAACCAACAGGATCTCCAGGATTTTCGACTCGGCCTCCAGGTCGGCGCGGAGACCAGGCTTTATTAGTCCTAAGAGCCAGGTCATTATCACCTGTTCCCTCGTCTCCGTCCAGGTAGGTAAAGAGAGAGAGAGGGCGGGGAGGTTGAAGAAGATAAGAGACTGGAAAGAGGCAAGAAACCTTTTAAACAATTTAAAACTTGACGATAATTAAACTCAGGTGTTAAAGTTAGAGTGTGGAATAATGCTTAAGGAAGAGGGAACAAGAGTGAGTTATTGGTGTCCTGAATGAGAAGAGATTTTCTTTGTTAGGTTATCGCTGAATTATTTCTATCTCTCTCTCTCTCTCTCTCTCTCTCTCTCTCTCTCTCAGTAACAAGGCCACACTAATCAACCGTCCACAGGGCCACACAAACTTGTCATGTAGCCAATGTTCCTCCAGCCATACCTCTTCATGTTTTGCTCCCAGCCTCACTAATAGGTTTCCTGCCTGTTGTGTTTATCGTAGACAAACATTCATACTTTACACAAAGTCATGAAGGTTTGTTTTTTCGTGTGTGTGTGTGTGTGTGTGTGTGTTTTGTGTGTGTGTTTGTAGTGTGTGTGTGTAATATATGTATATATAATAATTAACGGTTTATTGAAAAGAGCTTGGCTTGTGAAGGCTGAAAATATACAGTTACATATTTGGGGAATGGGTTACGAATTACAATAATATACAAGTAACATAAGTGACACAAATAAGACATATAATAACTAGATGTGGAAAAGCTCAAACTACAGTTCATTTCAACATAGTGACAGTGTAAGGAGCAGTGTTTACTGGGAGTGAATACACTGATTTATTACAAGTTATTGATAATTTTTACAATGGTTGGGACTGGGCTGTTCTTATAGCGATCAGTTCGTGCGTATGGCTGGTGCGGTTGTGGTGTCGAACAGAAATTCTCGGACAAGGGATCTCAGGTGGTAGTAGAGCGGTGTCAGAGGATGGTGTATGGCTCTTACCAAATTTGCAGATGAGGTCGTGGTGATGGTCAGTGAAGTCGAAGGGTCAGTGTGTTGAGCGCTTCTTGATATGTGGGTAGGGAAGGGAGAATAATCTTGCATGCCCTCTTTTGCACTTTTTCTAAGTGTTTACGTTGTGTGTGCATTTAGGGAGGAGACCAGGTGGGGAGGCATAAGTGAGCAAGATATGAATGTTGTGTAAACACTGAGGAGCTCGTGTGCAGGAACTCCGAGGACTGAGTCGGCGAAGGGGAGGTGGAGACGGAAACAGGTTTGATGCTTCACTGACGTGTGGTTTCCAATTTAGTTTTGTTGTCTATGGTGACGCCGAGAGCTTCGTGGAATCTACAACCTGGAGTGTGTTCGGACTGGAAGTAATGGAGGTGGGACAATATCGGAGGAGGTGTGTGTGTGTGTGTGTGTGTGTGTGTGTGTGTGTGTGTGTGTGTGTGTGTTTTGTGTGTGTGTTTGTGTGTGTGTTTGTGTATGTGTGTGTGTGTGTGTATGTCTATGTATATATATGTGTGTGTGTGTGTGTTTTTGTGTGTGTGTGTGTGTGTGTATTATAAGAGACAAAAGTTTGTTATCGAACTGTCAAACTTACAAGTAACAGCTTGCGTGAAAGTATTTTATTCGTTTATAACCACACACACACACACACACACACACACACACACACACACACACACACACACACACCATAGTATATTACTCACCTGTTGTATCCCTCACTCTTTCACCTGCCCCCACCATCCATCTTTCCCTTCCTTACTCACCCACCTGGCCTCTGCCTCCCTTCCTCTCCCACTCCTTCACCGGCTCCTTACCTCCTTCACTCCTCATTCACTCACTCAGTCACTCACCCATTGCCTCTCTCTCTCTCTCTCTCTCCCTCGTCGTGGTGCAGGTGGTGGCGACGGTGGTGTGGTTGATCATAGAGAACCCCGGTGCCAGGTTCGACTACCCGACACGAGACCAGGCGATCCTCAAGTGTCGGATCAAGGGGTTTCGTCGTTCCTGCTCTCCCTCATCTACAACATGGTCCTCATCACCACCTGCACCGTGTACGCCGTCAAGACCAGGAAGATCCCCGAGAACTTCAACGAGAGTAAGTTCATCGGCTTCACCATGTACACCACCTGCATCATCTGGCTCGCCTTCGTCCCCATCTACTTTGGCACCGGCAACTCCTACGAGGTAAGTCACGGTCCTCCATCTTGATAGTCAGTCATTGAGGTATTACCATAATGTACTTAGGCAGATCATGTCTCAAATTATTTCAGTGATGTTGGTTTTTTTCTACTTTCTTGATGAACAAATGACATCAACATCATAACCTTCCAACAGTTCAATGGTTTTTCCTTCAACTATCGTCAGTGTTTGGTTAAGGGTGCACATGGTGGCGAGGTGAACCTGACAACACCATGGTTCTCTCTCTAGTGTTACATAAAAGGTTAGGACAACATCAGAAGAATGGGTAAAACAATTTATTCATTGATGTCTTTAATTTCTTCCTTTTACCCAACCTCTCAGTTGCCTCATTGTTTATTTATTCATTTGAAAATATATAAATACGGAACGAAGGCAGCGGGTGATGGGTAACTGAGAGGTAAGTGAGAGAGGAGAGGAAAGTAACGGGTGATGGGTAGTGGAGGAGAAAGAGAAATAACGGGTGATAGGTAAGTGTGAGGTGTGGAAGTGAAGGGAGGAGAAGAGAAGTAACAGGTGATGGGTAAGTGTGAGTGTGGAAGTGAGGAAGGAGGCAGTGTGGGTGATGGGTAAGTGTGAGGTGGGAAGTGAGAGGAGGGAGCAGAGAGTAGCGGGTGATGGGTAAGTGTGGTGGGGAAGTGAGGAGGAAGGAGAAGTGGGGTGGTGGGTGAAGTGGGGAGGGAAGGAGGAGGAGGGCAGGCGGGTGATGGGTAAGGTGTGGGGAGGAGAGGAGAGTGGGGGTGATGGGTGGGGTGAGGGTGGGGAAGTGAGAGGGAGGAGAAAGTGGGTGGGTAAGTGGAGGAGAGAGAGAGTAAGGGTGATGGGTAGGTGTGGGGTGGGAAGTGAGAGGAGAGGGAGGCAGTGGCGGGTGATGGGTAAGTGTGAGGTGAAAGTGAGAGGAGGAGCGGAGAGTAACGGTGATGGGTAAGTGGTGTGAGGTGGGGAAGTGGGAGAGGAGGGTGATGGGTGGTGTGGAGTGATGAGAAGAGAGTAGCGGGTGATGGGTAAGTGGGGAGGGAGGAGGGTGGCAGATGATGTAGAGTGAAGGTGGGGAAGTGAGAGGAGAAATGTGGGTTATGGGTAAATGGGGAGAGAAGAAATGTGAGTAATGGGTGCAGGGGTGAGGAGGGAGGGAGGAGGAAGTGTGAGTGTGGGTAAGTGGGAGGTGAGAAGTGAGGGGAGAGAGTAGCAGGTGATGGGTGGTGAGAGGGGAGAGGAGGAATAGCAGGTAATGGGTAGGTGAGAGAGAGGGGTGGGGAAGTGAGGGGGAGGAGGAGGCCAGCAGGTGATGGGTAAGTGTGTGTGGGGCAGGAGGGAAGGGATCCCAACACACACAGTGATAACTGTGGGTCTGTCAGTGCTCGACACACACGCCACCTTCAGAATCCCGTGTGTATGTGTGATGTGGGGGTGGGGGTTATTACCTTACGAGTTATGCAAACCCTTGTAAGTTGCGGAATCTTTGTGAGTTATGGAAAGTTGAGAATAAATAAATAATATTCAACCTTGAGTCAGTGTTCTACATAAAGTCTTCAAGAACATTAAATAAAACAACTTGATACTTAAATGTGTTAGATTTTTTTTTTCCTATATTTTGTCTTCATAAAGTTCCATAGTTTTTTTTCCCCAAACACCTGCCTAATTTTTGACTCTGACTTGTGATTAGTGAACGTTATCTCTCTCTCTCTCTCTCTCTCTCTCTCTCTCTCTCTCTTTTTTTTTTTTTTTCAACATATACACTAGACTCGTTAGAATTTCTGTACCATAATAATTCGACATTTAATATTACCATCAGAAGAGGAGTTGTAAATCCTCTCTTTAATAATTTGTGTGAGCCCACATGCCCGGGCTCACCACCACCACCAACGCAATCACCTGCACCACTTCCATCATCTACCACCACCACACCATCACCTCCTACACTATCATCACCACCACCATCACCACCACCTCCACCATACTTCCTGTCTACACCACCACCACACCCCACCACCATCACCTCCACCACCACCACCATCACCACCACCATGTCACCACCAACATCACCATCACCACACTTCACCATCATCACCACCACCACCACCACCCATCCTCACCACCCACCACCACCACCACCACCACCACATCCCTTCACCACCACCACCATCACCACCACCACACCATCACCTCCACCATCATCACCACCACCACCACCTCACCACCACCACCACCACCACCACCACCACCACCACCCCCAAATTTTCAGCAACAAAGACTTAAATTTATCTTATAATTTCACGCTGCGGGGTTTTGTGTCATAATTACCTGTAATTATTTTTTTCCTGTTTAAGTTTTGTTTGAATTTTTTTCATGTTTTATTTAATTTTTGTATGACCAATTTTTTATTATATTTTTGTCTTTACATTTTGTTTACGTTGTTTTATATTTTTTAAATTCGTTTTTTAAATTCCTTTTTGTCTTTTTTATCTCTAAAATATTCCTCCATGTTTACTGGGTGTTTGTTTTAAGTGCAGTCTCTCTCTCTCTTTTTTTTTTTTTTTTTCTCTCTCTCTCTCCTTCACTTACCAGGGGGAGGTGGGAGAGCTTCACACACATTAAATCTGGCTTTCATTAATTTTTCAGTATGGTGCCAAGTGAAGACAAGGAATTAACATTAAGCTCTAACGCTGTGCCATTAGTCAAGTCACCTTCCTAGAACTAATACATCTGAAAATTGAGAGAGAGAGAGAGACAGAGAGAGAGAGAGAGAGAGAGAGAAAAAAAAGGTATATTGAACATTTATAACGAGGGAGATAAGCAATGAGGTGCTTAGGTGACTACAGTTCAGCCTCCCAACGAGTAAATTCTTCCACAAGATGTTCGTGTTACGTCGGCGAGAGATAGTGTTAAGTGTCGTGTGTGATTCCTTGATTATTGAGGGCTGTAGAGTTGTTGTGAGGTGTAGGAGTCTCTCTCTCTCTCTCTCTCTCTCTCTCTCTCTCTCTCTCTCTCTCTCTCTCTCTTCACCGCTTGATGCCTCAGGACACAACATTTCCACGCTAGTACTTTGGCAGTAGTGGCTCCAGGTACCCTACACCCCGGAAGTCGCTGACGGGCACCTGTTACCTCCTTCAGGCGACTCTTCCTCCCCTTGATATAAACTTATTCACGCCGTATAGTCCCTCGGGGTTAATCTCCTCCTTCAGGTTCGTCTCCTCCTCCTGGGGTTCCTCTCCTACTTCAGGTTCCTTTTTCTCCCTCGGGATTATTCTCCTCCCTCGTGGTTCCTCTCCTCCTTCGGGGTTATTCTCCTCCCTCAGGTTTACTCTCTCTCGCTCGGGTTTCCTCTCTTCCTTTCAGATTCTCTCTCCCCTCAGGGTTATTCTCTCTGCCACGGGGTTCCTCTCTCCTCAGATATTATCCTCCTCCGGTGTTCCTCTCCTCCTTTCAGGTTCCTCTCCTCCTCGGGGTTATTCTCCTGCCTCTGGATTCTCTCCTCCTCCAGTTATTCTCCTCGTCAGGTTCATCTCCTCCATCAGGTTCCTCCTCCACCCTTGGGGTTCCTCTCCTCTTTCAGGTTACTCTCTCCTCGGGTTATTCTTCTCCATCAGGGTTATTCTACTCCCTCCGGGTTTACTCTCCTCCTCCAGTTATTCTCCTCCGTCGAGTTCATCTCCTCCTCAGGTTCCTCTCCTCCCTTGGGGTTTATCCCTTTTCCAGGTTACTCTCTCCCTCAGATTACTCCTCCTCAGGTTCCTCTCCTCCCTCTGGGTTCCTCCTATCATCTCCTTCAGGGTTTCTCTCCTCCCTCAGGTACACTCCTCCCTAGGTTCCTCTCTCTCCTCTGAGTTCCTCTGATCCTCTCCTTCAGGTTTCTCTCTCCCCTCAGATTACCTCCTCCCTCAGGGTTCTCCTCCTCCCTCTGGGGTTCTCTCTGATCATCTCCTTCGGGGTTTCTCTCTCTCCTCGGTGTTCCTCTCCTCCCTCAGGTTACTCTCCTCCCTCGGGGTTCCTCCCTCCTTCAGGTTACTCTCTCCCTCCCTCGGGTTCTCCTCTGGTTCTCTTCCTCCCTCTCTGGGTTCCTCTGATCCTCTCCTTCAGGTTTCTCTCCTCCCTCGGTGTTCCTCTCCTTCCTCAGTTACTCTCCTCCCTCTGGTTCCTGATCATCTCCTTCAGGTTTCTCTCCTCCCTCGGTGTTCCTCTCCCTCAGGGTTTCTCTCCTCTCCCTCTGGGTTCCTCTATCATCTCCTTCAGGTTTCTCTCCTCCTCGGTGTCCTCTCCCCTCAGGTTACTCCTCCTCCCTCGGGTTCCTCCCTCCTTCAGGCTACTCTCCCCTCAGGGTTTCCTCCCTCTTCAGGTTCTCCTCCTCTCGTTCTCCTCCTTCGGTTTCCTCTCCTTACTAATCTACACAGTTAGGTTCTCTACCTTCTCCTCCCATCTCTCCCCTCGCCTTCCCTCCTCCCTCCCCATCTCTTCCTCTCCTGCTCCCCCAGCCATCACCTGAACTTGGGTGCATCTGGGACAATTTCTCTGTATTGGTGACGTTGATGTCTGAGTGGGTGGGTGGTGGGTAGTGTTTGTGGGTGGTGTGGATGGAGTAGGTGGTGTGGGTGATGGGTGGTGGTATGGTGTTTGGGTGCGTAGGTGGTGTGGGTGGGTTGGTGGTGTGGGTGGTGGTTGGGGTAGGGAGGTTGGTGGGTGGGGTGGATGGTGTGTAGGTGGTGGGTGGGTAGGTGGTGTCGGTGGTGGGTGGTGGGGTAGGTGGTGGGTGGGTGGTTGGGTAGGAGGGTGGATGGTGGGTGGTGTGGGTGTGGGTGGGTGGGTGGTTGGGTGGGAGGGTGGGTGGGTGGTGTGGGTGGGTGGTGGCTCCTGTAACAGATTTGGCACCTACTGCGACACCCGGAACGTGGAAGTGAATGTTCAGTAGTTGTTGAGTTAATGGTAGTGTAAAATAATAAAAATAATAATAATTAACGGTTTATTGAAAACGTCGGCAGCCCGAAGGCTGA